CATAAGTAGGATTGCAGCTTTAAATGGTTCTGTTAAAAAGTACAGGAGAAGGAAAATCATCAAAGCAATGAAAAGCAAATCGGCACCATGTTTATTGGGAGATTCAATTCAGCAAAAATTAACCCTCTGTGATGCGGTGATTCTTTGTACCCAAATGGATGATGGAAACAATGAAAGGGTTTGACGACGATAACCCCGTCTAGAATGAACCACTTAGAAATTCAAGAAAATCCGTGGCGTATTCCCTATCACAATAATAATTTCTCTGCAGTGATGTTCCTTTGTTTTGCATATTCACAAATTCATGCACTGTACTGATTGAGTAACTATGACACTAACCTTTACACAACCTTTCCCTCCAGTGTATACACTTCGGTTATCTTTCGCTATAGTGACGGCACACACAACCTGAAAATGTTAAAATTTGGAGCAATTTCATTTTTCACACCAGGAGAAGCATAAGGACAGGTACCAAAGGTATGGAAACTTTCAAAAATCAGTAGTATTGTGAAGGTAATCCGTAGTCACAACCACGAATTCCCCACTGACCAGTTCATGAATTAGTTGGAAAAATCTATTTCCTTCGGAACGAAAACTTTTCGGTTAACTCATAGGAAAGTATAGAAATTACTAACAGTTCCATTATTCACCATTCTTGCGACCCGTGACCTCTGCTAACGCTACAAGCTAAAAGTTCATCACCCACAATTTTACAGCAGTCACATTCAGCATAGCCGAAAAACATTTTCATGGGGAACATATACGCTTAAAAATTCTACGTATTCAGCATACACTGTGTCATTACTGTGCTTAAAGGGATTTTTATGCAATGTAATTTCCTGGAGAAGGGAGCAATCTAGGAGGTTCCGCTTTTTGCTGCACATCTTTAACGCTTTATTTTTTTTTTGAATTTACCTGAACGCATTTTACTGGCTTACCTCTCCATGTGGCAACTCAAACTTTCGCGTGACACTCTTCGGAATTCCAGGCGCATTGAAAGCATCACTTGGAAATACTGTCGGTTGTAAAACTCCGCCATCGACCGTGCGGAAAGAATACGCCGGCTTGCCGTTTAGAAGACCACCAGCGGGACCTCCAATACCCATGCCAGCTGCCATTCGAGCCTTAACCAGTACTTTTATTTATGTTAGGATCAGCTGAAACAATTGCCTTTTTGTTACTGTAAATTAATGTTAGCGGTAGTAATACAGATTTGATCAAGAAAGGAAAAACGATACTAAAGGGAGCAGAAAACAGTAAAATAAAAACTGAAGCATCACCGCTCACCTTGTGCATGTTGATCAAATATCGGAGGCAAGCCGCCACGACTGAAAGCTGCAGCGAGGGGATTCATATTCATACCTAGGTTACCTAAAGAAATCAATTATGAGATATAACAAGAAAGACTTGATGGAAGGAACTAATGGTCACAGCATTCTCACCAAATACACCACCGGGTAAGCCCATTTGCTCCAGGGGATTTCGGGGTTTTGGGCCAGGAGTACTCGCACCACTTGATGCTACACTGTTCGTTGAATCTCGACCATCCGCTTTTGGAACCTAACGATAAAAATGTTATAATTGAAAGATAAACTCCACAATCTCTTGATTAGAAAGATTCACTCACTTTAAGGGAAGATGGTGGCGCACTACTGGTCCCATTTGAATGTCCTGCACCACCTGCGTCGTCGTTCTGCACGTCGATCTCTAACTCGCCATCTCCATCGGCATCTTCATCGACCTTCATTCGTTTCGAAGTCGAACCATTCGGTGAAATAGATCGTGGACGAGAGCTAAATTTGAAATGGTTAGTATCTAATACTTTGAAGCCATACCACCATAAAATGTTTTCCCTTAAGAGTAGTGAAAATTATTGTTCAGAAGGAGTCTATTTCAAGTCTAAGGAACCAGAACGCCCAGTTATTTCCTCTGCCACCACACCTTTTTCAAGATGGCCCCATCTCACTTCTTTGTGCCTTTTCTTCATAAATCCATGACATTCGGACCTAATGTGAACTTATTGAAGCCGGAAATGATTGAACATGTTAGATCTCACAAATATGTTAAACAAAACCCCGACGTGTCTTATTTTAGAATGACGAGGGAGCAGAGACAAAACTGAAAATGAATGGCTAAGGAGGACCACAAAATTCCATAGGGAACTATTATGACGCTGAAAACATCGCCTTCGAAAGGAACCATTCGAATTGAGCGGAACAGATGTTGCGAAATGTCGCTGTTGTTCCCAAAAACGAACGTTGGACATTTTGTAAGAAACTGCCTCATTCCTCATCATTGGATTCTCCCTACTTTTAGTTTTAATCGTGAAATTAATGATTTTCTGGTGTTTTGAAGCTGCTCAGTTTTTCTTTGTTTTTGATAATGAATCAAAATGCGACAAAAGTCGCAGAGATTATGGTTTTTCTCGCCCTAAATGAACATGGTACAACTGAGATCAATTTTCCTTTTGGGAAATTTATCGACCACAACAAAATATCATAACATGAACAACGACCTTTCCCACTACTTGTAACTCTGGCCTCTAAAAGGATATCAATTTGGCAAACTGTGCAACAAAAATAAAAAAAATTCAAAATAGTCAATAAACAGTGAGTAGAAGCCAAACATGATGTTGATGACAAGATGTTCTAGTTTTTTTTTTGGTGTTTGGTTTCTAACGTTGTCTTATACAACGTTAGAAACCAAACAACGTTGTATTGATAAATAAATAAATAAAACATACATGCTTTTCTCAATAAGTTCATAAAACCCACTCTCGACGAGAACCCGAATTGGACAACATAGTGAAACAGATTTTGTAAAGACCAACAATATCGGATTTGGTGTTCAAAAGTGACAACGGTACACAAAGGCACATTTCGAATAAACTCAAGGAAACTAAAAAACTATAACGTATAAACTAAAAATGAAAACGAATAAACTAAAAATGACTAAACATAATGAAAGCCAAACCTTGACTGCCTGCTTGGTTGCTCGTGTCTCTCAGAATGAGCAGCAGATGAGGTAGCCTCAGGTACACGATGTGTCGCTCCCATTGCTGCTGCTGCTAGCGCCTGTTGAAATCCTACAGGTGGCATTCCCAGCGCACCAGGCAATCCAGCCATGGCAGGCATCATCGCTGCCATTTGTTGGGAATGTGCATTTGATTGCATCAACTGGCCAACTTCTTGCGTAGATATCTGAAAAAGGCTAATCCTTTCATTTTTCTTATTTCGCTAAATTGCGGAAGAGCAATGCCGATATAATTCGCCGCTTTTCTACATAATTCATCAATGACGATTTTTCCAGAACCACGCATCTATAAACAGCTTTCTCGAAACGGTCAACTTCAGATGCTGCTTGAACAACTTCCAGAAGTCCTACACCGGATGAAGCAAATACCCACTATTTTTTCGTTGAAAATCCCCGTGAAATCAGAGGAACTGAAATTTGATTAAGTGCCTTGTTACTGTATTTGCTCTGCAAACAGATGGGCGAATTTCTAATAGATTTCTTCCCAACAGACGATGAGTAGGGAGCTTCAATCCCTGCTAGACTTGCTGAATAGCCCTCATAGGTGACCAGCCATCATATGCACATCTTCGAACTCGTAACGAATGAGAAAACTGCATAATTTATTTCAGCCATTCGTGAAAAAAAAATGGAGAGAGCAATCCTGCCACTTCGCTGATGAAGAAACAAACGATTAAGAAGGCCGAGTGGTTTTTCACTGAAGAAACAAACTTCTCCAATTTCCCATTGCGTCACTCATCACACTGGTCTCTAGAGACCGTTATGTGGCGCAAAAATACAAAGGATGTGACTAATGGGTAGCCATTCTAGGCAGTTGTTTTCTGGAATTTTCGTTTTCTGACGCTCAATGCAACTTTTGAATTGAAATCGGCACCGTTACTTGCGCAATCTAATACACAATCGTAGCAAAAGCACAAATATACTATTGAATATTGACATACTGTTTGGTAACGCACCTGTTTTGCACGCTCCATTGCATTCATCGCTTGCTGGGCATGTTCAGGTGGTAGAAAAGGAAGAAGCTGGAAATGAAAAGAATATCTCAACCTGAGCCTTTGCTCTAGGGATGCTAAAATGAAATATACCTGTGTAATTATAGCTGTATATCGCTTACAGAGTTCACTTTGTTTCTGAATTTCCATATTCATACCACATTGAAACTCATAATAGAGCATATAATGGCGTTGCATATTTTCCTTTTCCGCATTTAATTTCTCCAACTCATTCTGAAATGGATTGAAATCTTATTGAATCTATAGTAGAGAAACAGCTGATAGTATTTAAACAACCAACTCTTTGTTGCTGAAGCTGATTGTGCATGAAGGTGAACTCCTCCTTCAGCCGATCAATGTGCTCCATAAAAGAGGAGACCTTCATTGACTGCACGCCTAACCCAGAACCTGCTGCTATTTACTGAAACATAGTAGTTCAGACATTTAGAAATGAAAAAGATTTATTTCTGTTCTCAGACGGAATTAACGCGGGCAAATCAGAAAAGAAAAAGAAAAACACTGATCAGCTACAAATAAGAGGACCAGCAGTTCCCCTCATACTTGGCTCCACTCTAGTCAGTGATGAAACTGTTTCCAATGAATCAAGAATTCAGAACCGTTCCCTCTTCATTCAGAATGCACACGAAAAAAAAACTGGAAATATCATCAACATTGAGTGGAACAGGTATGAAAAAAGATCGTCTCAGAAAAACGCGACACCTGAGCATGGAAGAAAATGTAGTTACAAAAAATTCACTAGCTGCAGCGGAAGAAAATCAATAAATTACATTTTGCTATTGCAAAGGAAAAGTGGGCGAGGACATTAGTTTCCCAAATCCCACTTCTCAGGAGATTCAAAGATATTTTTTTCGTATACGACGGTCCAGACGGTAACTGTAATAGCAAATACCTAGTCTCATAAAAAAGTAGTTTTCCCAAAGCATGAAGTGGGGAAAAATGCCCTCCTAACCTTGCTTTCACCTACCTGACCCACGAATATTTCTGAATTGGCTCGAAAATACCCTAATCAAAACTTCTCGACCATTCCAATCGCTTCCATGGTTCACAGTGCCCCTACAATGGAGTGGGTTAATTGAGCCCACGCTTATTTAGTCATGGTCAGTTACATTTAGCAGAACAAGTATCGCTCGTTACCCACCTTTCTTCCACCACATCAATGCACCATCGCTACTAAGAAATACCTATATGAATTTAAACGTTAGTTATACCCTCATCGCATAATCGCCTTTTCCTTGGATGTCAGCGGACATAAATTACTTGACAAGGTAAATGCTTCAATAAGGCGCTTAAACAGATCAGGGGAGATAATTCCCTTGTGGGAGGTACCAAAAGCGCTTGTTATATTCTCGCCGAGCCAAGGATTTCATTAAGGTGCTTGAAAACGAAAAAAGCGCCTTTACCTCAATTTGCATGCAGTGGATTACTGCAGTCGACAGCTACAGAAGGTGGGCACGATTGCGTGCTGACCTGCTCCGAGAGAGATGATGAATTGAAATATTAGGGAAGATAAGCGCGGCACGGCGTGCTATCAGGCGTTGAATTATGGACCACTTCGCACGGCTTCCCTGCAAACGGAAGAAGCTTCTGGTTGCTACACTTTTTGAATCCAAAGACGTGCTCTGCTACTAAAGTAAAGCAACCAAGCAAAGTGATAACTGGACCTGGGTTACACGAGCTATAGATACTAGGGCATTGGATAGCAGATGAAAAAGTGAGGATAGACCATAAGTGAGCAATGCAGTGTGTAGAAGTACCATTGTCCACACTGTTTTTATTCACCATATCTTTATTTAACATAACAACATTTTTAAACATGAACTGTATACCCTTCGCAAATACCGCGAATTTTAAAACGCACATGCGATTCGATTTTTCAACGCAATCGCCACGTGTGATATCGCGTCCGCAATTACGACAGGCCCAGCCGCGGGAAACAGTGTAAATATTAAATATACTTAGTAACGCGTGGCCTCTATTAAAAGAACGCTTCGCAAGTACATGACACAAATACGAGGCTCCCTTTCAATACAGACTACAAGCTTGCAAGATAGCGGAAGAGCAGAGGTCCGAATTTCATATAGGTAAGGATAGACTAACTGCATGAAATTCATGAACGGTTTGCAGAGTATATGGAGAGAAGCATCAACGAAGTTGATCGATTCATAACACACGATGAGACGATTAACGATCGATTTGTATGGTTTAGTAATGTGTTTCCTGCGCTCATGTCGTTGGGGTAGGGAGAGGGGACACTCGAGTAAGTGGGCTTTTTTGAAGAACTTGGGACTAACCATAACCCTTAGGAAAGGTTAGGGATTCTGAGGAGGACCACATGAGCACTTTGTGTTATCTCTGGCTTTCCTCACCCTCCTTAGTCAGAGCTTCATCCACCTTTTGGCCCTGCTCCCCCACCCCACCTCCCGAAGCAATGAGCGCCGTGTTTTCTTTCCAAGGGATGGGTATTTCCACATTTTTACACTGAAGAAGTACAGCTTTGTCACATTTTTTTCAGTTCTTGAATCTCATTACTCAAGATGGCAACCACGCAAGCCAATTCCACAGCTTGTAGTCGTTCGACGACAGCCATCAACTCACAAGCCAATGGACCACAAAGCTAATTAGGTTTCTAGCTCCTCGAAAAACAACTTGACAAATTACTGTTAGTCGTTAAATTAGTCAATAAGGAATGCATTGCAATGCTTTCTGCCGATTAACGCCTGTTTTATTTATTTACTTATTATTTGAAACGCTGCATACGGAAATCGTGAGGAAGCAACACAACCGACATCAACATAAAGATTATGTATACTATCTACAGCTCAACAAGTATTTATTAGCAATGCATTTGAAAAGCACATAAGTGGGCCGAACGGGTGCCACATTCGTTTTGTGAGAAATAAATATAGAACAATTATTTCTCTAATGCCTTAACGACGGTGCCAAGAAAGACTTCTGGCAATTTAAGAAATCGAGTGGATGAACACTATACACGATAGCCATGCGACTGATGTAATGAAATGAAAAAATGCAGCAGCGAGCACCTCATGAATTGCAGGCTAATCTAGCACGCCATTCTGAACGCGAATGCACACAAACACACTGCCTGCCATCCGTTGCCGCCGTCCGTCTTTCAAAATTGAATTCATGCTTATACGATTCATAACATCGCTAACGAAATGACGACAGTAGCGATGACGGCATCTGTGTTTTTTTCAACCGAATGTGCACTTCTGCCAGGAGCGGTTATTAAAAATGAACAAATGTATAAATGGAGATGTGAAAGCTGCAAAACTCTAATGAAATGCTATGATAATGGCAGCTTGAAGCGTCATTCAGTGCAAGTCCGATGAAATAATATCCGAACTAGCGCTATCTCTAGTGTCTATCGTTGAATACTTGATGACGATGTCACACCATTGAGCAAGCGGATAATTGCCGCGATGTGTCCCCTTCTAGGATAAGCATGGGGATCTCAATCGATTGTGAGACACTTGCCAAGTGGACATGAATTAGTGCGACAAAGAGGAGAAGTGGCAAGCAAAAACTGGGACATGAAATTGAGGGCCCACGCCGTTCGCACTCGTTAAAAAGCGTTGCCTTCTTAATTGAACGCCTGCGTTGAATCCCCATGACGAAAATATCTCAGAACATTTCGTACATTCACAGAAATCATTCTGAAGAGTGTGCAACAGAGGTTGGAACCGAAAGACAGAAAGAAATCTTTAGCAATTCCGACAGAGGAGAAACAAAGGAGGATTGTAAATGTATGGACACGATCATAATTGAAGGACGCCATCGTAAATTCACACTGGAGCGCGGTAATCGTGTACGCGGCTCTTTTGAATAGGATAGCTTCTCGAAGAAACTTCCTACAACTAGAGCTTTCACATGAGTTATGGTTTCGTACTGTGAATCTTCAGAATAAATACATCAATTTAAATTATCGTGTCCTAAAGGTTATCCGCTTCTTTCATACCGTTCCCCTCTCATTTTACTCCTTGCTTTGTATTTATTTGCTACTAGCAAAGGTAAATTTAGACACTATGTAGAGCCGGTTACTTGTAAACTTTGCATACCCTACCCAAAGCGCTTCCAACATTCGTTCAATTCCCAAACTCCCACACAATACAAATTACCAATCCCTTTTGAGATACGCCACGCACGCATGCAGATCTGAAGATTCCTTGAATCAGGTACGATCGAATCCTTGTTACGATCTCAAAAAATGTAACAGAAGTTTGTCGACATGTCGATGAAAGCTCAGCGGACACAGCAGCCGCTAAAGACCCGGGAATTCTTAGTGTGCGGTTATGCTTTGCGACCGTTTCTATGTTCGTGTACGGAATAGGTAAGGCCGGTGTCAGACTCCGCGAATCCAGGGATTCGCTGAGCGAGTCTTCGGGGTCGTTAGCAATCTCGCGATCGATAGGTATCTATTCCACACTCGAACTGCAACGAAGTGCTAGGCAAAGGCGAAGTTTTTGAGGTTCTTTATAGAGTAACTCTTTAGCTTGACATCCATGTATCTCAGATAGAGCGGTTGCAAGAAACAATAAGTCACATTGTTTCAGGACATGCGGAAGGATCAATCACTAACCATAAGATGAATAAGAATATGAAGGTTTAAAACATTTGATAAGACGTTCAAGCAGGCGAGACAATTATGGAGCTTGTGTAAGTAATTTTTAATCATCAGCTTGCTGGAAAACGATATTTTTCAAAATGGTTGTTGAAGTCCTAAAGACATTATGAAGAAAACACCTAACTTCTGAAAAACCTATGGATATATCTCAATTTCTTCCTGTCGAAGAAAGCAAGATGAAATCTGCATGAATATTCAGTCAGATTTCTCGAATTTGAGAATCGATGCTTTCTCTAGGTGATTGTATTTATCCAGATATCCGCTAATAAACGCTACAGTGCCTTCTGGAGTACTTATAAGTTACTCATAAATATTATTAGAGAAAACTGATAGTTACTTTTCAAACAAGCTTCGTCCTAAAACTTCTAAAATTCTTAACTTCTGACTTCCTTAGCTCAAATTCGTACCTACGAATGAAGTGCTCATCAATGCTTGACAAACGTTGTGGTTTCTTACAACTCTTACTTGCAAAGGGTTGGGTCATACTAGCAGTTCGGTGTGCAGTTCAAGTGCGGAGCAGATACGTATCGATCAAGCGATTCATTATCGATACTTATTTCCTCATGCTCGAACTGTAAACCGAACCGCAAAACATGACACGGCCCTAAAAGTAGTTGCAAGCAAATTTCACTCACATAGTAAAACTTTGAAAGACACCTAGTACTATTCCATACACATAGATTGTGCCTAGTATTTGGAAATATTTTCACAACCGAGATTGAAATTTAATGGTACCAGCCAACAAAGCTAACCAGCTTCATTGCCAAATGTTCTAATAGACGTTGGGAGCAATCAGTAGCTCTCTGCACCCAAAATGAATTCGCAAGCGTAATCAACAATCGCTCCATGAATCTTATTTCAGCGTTTGCTGGATATGCCTGAGCAATGGCGAATCTTTCAATGAAAAACCTCAACGAGAAATCTCTGACATATTGTAACAAAAGAAATAGAGCAGGAAAAAAAAAGAATAGTCGTAGTAATAATTGATTAAGGTCCTCAAAATAAATGAAGGGGCAATGTTTGCAAAAAGAAACTAAATAAATACGACATGAACACTCAGCAGACTACAGATTGAACGGATTAGTGAAACACTCGCAGAATCGATTATCGCACGCATTCAAATCTCGATATTTTAACAAAACCAGAAGAAAAAAATATTCATTTTGAAGGAAGTAACTCATCCGTAATGCACATATTCCCTAAATGGTCGTAGCTTTCACATATCCAGAGAAAAACTAGTATGACAAAATGTGAGGGCATCAGTGGAACTTTCAGTTCGTAGGTATATACTTCACATTAATAGGCGACAATTTAGCCACCGTAACAAAACAGTAGGTCCTGAAGCGAAAACGAATAAACCCGTTAAGCCATTGTCCGGTAATAACAATTACACGGGAAGAATATCGCATGTGTCCTATGATTGGTCGCCTCCTAATTGAAAAGCAAATAACAATCTTGCGACGGGAGGACGGCCTGGATATGCGCGTCAGATGTGCTTCTTAGTGCTTAGATTATGCACGAGACATTTAGGCAGGCTATGGCGCACATTTTAAGACAAGTGACAGCAGGCAGGCGGAGGGAGAGCATCTCATCTGGATAAAGAGATGACGAGCCGAGAGAATCCCTGGAGAAGAATGACAAGTAACCGCCGAGAGATGCCGCGCTGCTGCCAATACCAATGACGTCCCAGTGACAAGACTGAGATGAAGAAAAGAACTCTCGAAAAGGAGTGGTTTGAGATGGCGCTACCTTGGTGTCAAGTAGGAAATCGCTATAGAGGTGAGGAGAACTCGCGCATGCATGAACACAGGGCGTGGCCGGGCTGGCCTGACCGGCTGGGAGATTGATTCCGTGTGGGGGCGCCTACATCTTTTAGTTGCTGCTTACCAAGGAGAAGTACCGAATTACTCCCGTGCACACACACATACACACACTCACTCTCACATACACACACATGCTGCTGGCATCGATTCCCTCTCTGCTCCCGCCCTTCCTCCACCTCCGGTTCACTCCATTTAGTCGCCAAATATTTGGCTATTCGCGGGATAACCATGTAGACAGATGTGCTGCGATCTCCCACAGCTCATCACGCTATTCCGCTCACCACCACGTAATAATGATACGGGTGTCCCTGAACACACACACTTAACATCTCGCTCTCGATTGCCGACCTAACGACACACGTACACACTCACTCACTCAGGGACTGCTTTGAACTAGCTATTTCCACCGAGAAGGAATCCGAAAAACCATCGCGCTCGAGCACTCGATGTGTATTGTTAGCAGCCACAGCTACGCGCACACTTCACGTGTAAAAGGAGTCGTTCGAAGGGCAGCAGGAAGAGCACGAAGAAGAGCCAAAGTCAATAAGGATAGAGCATTGAGAGGGGTGAGTGGCGATGAGGACGACGACGACGACGACCGCAAATGCTTGTGCCTCTATTGGGTAAACAATGCAAAGCAACTTCTCCGCGCCATCGTCAAGTGAGTGGCGCGGCTAATGCCGCCCGCCCGCCCGCACTCAATCCTCCGGATACATAACCACTAACAATGATTGCGCTTTAATTACTAATTAATAGGATAAAGCACATAGCGCTCGCTCTGAAGAGCGTCACAAATTCTTCCTCACTTACTAAATACAAAAATTGCCAAGATCCCCCGCATCCTTCCAATAATCCAGAAGATCCAGAAGTAATCCATGAAATGCAATCCTAATCCCCACCTCCACATAAGGCGAAAATAGCTTATCGGCAGAAGGTAACCTTAACAACAGCATCATGCCTGGACCAGATCCAATCTGAGGCAATCGAAATTTTCAAGTATAAGTGGTCTAGCACATCACAAGAGTCTCTTATAAAACAAAAGTTGGCTAATAAATCCGAAACCAACAATTATCCGACATTTCAAGGCATTGTATAAATGAAAGACACATTCGAACGCCTAAACAGTTCCGGATGGAAGTCAACTTCATGGCGCATAATTATTAGATTCACACTATCCATTGTCCTTCACTATCGCTTTTATCCCTCATAAAAGCCTAGTAACGGCGAACCGATCCCGAAAAGATAGAAGGGTCCGCCGAATCTCGCGTTACACTGCTTCGTCAGCCTCTATGCTATGCGTCCAATGTTTAAATACGAATTTGAAAGAGGAAACAAAGCAGCCAAGTGGCGATGTATGGAAAAATGTTGGTTGGTGGTTTGGCACCAGTTCAAATACACTGAGAACAATCAATCTGAACTTCGTTCATTTGAACATGAAAATGTTATAAGTGTAACTCTTTATGCTATGGAAACAAAAATAAATGGAAGTACCACATACAGAAATGATTAAAATGCGAGAACAACGGATATGAAATACGAGCTGAGGAGAACCTGAAACTCGTGGGATTCACATTAAACGAATCGGGCCACCCACTGATCAGGTCAATCAGACTGGGTGGTCTAATGAAATTGATCGAATTCAATGGATGGGTGAGGATGGATTGGGTGTCTAATGATCACATTCTCTTTCTATCTCTCTCACGAAACGACCCCCAACAGTTAGTAAGGGTTAGAAAGGTAGAGAACGAACGAGAGAGAGTATCTGACAAACTGCGGATGGACACGCAGAAACAGAAGAGACCGCCCCACCGGCCAACAATAACAATTGAGCTGTTTTCTTTCGCCCTCAGCCGCGAGAAGGTGCCTGGGCGAGTGTGGACGGCGGCGCCGGAGACGCAGCCAGCCGTGCCGAAACAGCAGTTCGTTCAGGGAGGGCGACGACGTCCGCGTCTGGAGAGCACGAGAGTCGAGGAGTCGCGGGACACGCTAACGCGTTCGCCGAGCCGACGACGACGATCCTTTGTTCCAGCGCTCGAAAAAACTCTCAATGTGGTAGATGGCGACCGCTGCAAGAACAGAATTGCTGAGACTGAGTTAAGTGTGCGCCTGCGCTCGCGCTCACCGCGCGCCTCATCACAAACATGCATCAAATCTCATCCGGAAATTGCGGGCAAGCCTCCCATAGGGCAGCCATTCGTCAACCCAAAGTTCTCGCCCACTAATCAGACCCGCGTCTCACTAATGAGAGCTTCCCATACACATCTACACACAGATTTCCATGTATGGAATCTTAACCCAAGTATTAAGCGGGCAGCGGGAAGGCGATTAGCGCGTGGCAGTTCCCGACTGAATAGTCAAGATAACACAGAACATTGCCATCTGCACATAATTGGTATTTAGAGCCTGACGTCGGGGGTAGCTGATTGTGATAGTTAAGAACAATTGTTTCCATGAAGATATGGCTATCTGGAAGTATTACCACAATAAGTATCTAAGAACTCTCCTTACCTCCAATAATGTGACACCCAACTCCTTATGCCTTAATCACTACTTACCTAACGAGCTATCATCATCTTGCCAGTCGGGTAGGAGGAACTCCCGAATGGGCGAATTAAGCTTTCAACCCCATTTGAAGTTGTAGCCGGGTCCCAAGGCTTTTCGCATTCTTCGCAAACTGACGTGGCTTTGGTAAAAATAACTTGTAAGGCTTTTCACAGCCCAGCACCACTCTTAATCACCCCGTTTCCGCACAAGTGCAGTCGTCTATTGTTTTGAAATAGGCTCTACCTTTCAAAAGCAGGACCCTACTACGTTATTATTCAGCCCGTCTGTGAGTGAGGAGAAAATGGACGGCGCCTGTGCCTACGACGACGACGACGAAATCGACAACTACCCAGCACTAATAACAAGAGTAACCCGATACTTACATGGAATTCGCATGTCCTGGAAGCTTTCCAGATCCTCGACAAGCAACGCAACCATAGCATGTGTGGGCGATTCTCCATTAACATCACCGAATGCTGTCACAGATTCTGCAAGATTTGTGCAGCATTCTGTATGGGAGGTCGCTTCGACAACCCTGATACGACCCCGAGTCTGCCACATTTCACACATTCTGATCGCTGGTCGAGCTTCGGCACAAAGGTTCTGAAAGGAGGTCGTCAAGGGGTTTTTTGTTATTGCACTTAGACCATCTCATTACCTTGTTTGCATCCAATTTCCGCAGAACAAAAGATGGTATCACGGCAATGAGCGAAGTGGAATTGACAAGAGGGCAAACGGTTTTTAGTCGTTGAATGAGGACATCATAGTCCAACACTATGTAGACTGGAAGCCACTGTGAACTTATTGCCTGAAAAAAAAGAAACAAGTATTACACCTGATTTCACTGAAAAATCTTCAAGTTATCCATTGGACCGTGAAATTTCCCTCATGTATTCGTGATGCCCTTGTAATTCACCCATAGACTAATTACTAATTCATTATCTATGCCTCAGCATTAATAAGAATAGATGATATGTCGTCGTTCATGCGTGCTTCAACGTGCACTTTGCTGCCATTTCTTACGTATGAAAAATTCACGCAACTCATATCCCCGCGCAAAGACACACGAAGGGGGGGGGGGACGATGCCAGATCGCGAATTTACCCTCATGCAGCGGTAATTACTTAGACAGCTGCACTCTTCATCCTTCAGGAGTCGTTGCCGCACCAATTGCCCCACTTCACAATCGTTACACACACGCATACATCCTCAATGCTCCCCCCCCCTCCCCGCCCTTCCGCTTCTAGCTGAAGAGTCATTTCAGAAAGACGGAAGTGTGACGACCTTTTGAAAGCTGAAGGCGCGACCAAGCAAAATCTGAGTCATACTCCAGTCGCAGTCACTCATCGGAGATGCCATGTCAGCGCCCAAAAGATACGGTGGAGCGCTCATGCTTAACAAATAGGGCACTACGCAGCCGGCTGGACAGGTCGGGCTGAATTAATGTCGCCTTTGCCTCTTCACCGACCGTAGGTGTGCGCATCACACACACGCACTCGCACCAAGAGACGACAGTCATCAACGCCTCGTCGTCGTCGTCGCCGCCGCCGCTGCTGCTGCTGCTGCGCTGTCGTGGCCTCGCCCGAGCATATGCTCATATCCGCGCCGACAAAAACTGGGGACAAGGCAATCTCGTGCATGAGATATGGTGTGCGGCGATTTATGGCGTACGATATGTAGCGCTCTCGGAGAGAATGGCGTAATTGCGCGTCCGTGCGGCCTCGATTAGCGGGCGCTATGTAAATGAGGCGCGGCCTGAATCGTGTGCGCTGCGACATCCACTCCCTCTCCCCCTCCCCAACGACATCGAGCAGGTTTCCACGTTCCTTCATCGTCCTGCTCATAACCACTTCTGCATTCACATTTCGTCTAATCGACTAGTTTCGAAAGGCTATTGCCAAATCCGCACGACTAATGCGCGCGATATGTAGCTCCCTTGAAAGAACCATAGAACTATGCCGTGCCGGACCGCCTTACAAGCCTATAGTAAATCCCAACAGGACACCTAAATTTCGTGAAATCACTGCCTCAAAGGGAAAGAATAAAGTTGAAACTTCCGCATACTGAAGACAGATTACAAGGAAATCGGAAGCGAGTATCAAGCCCAATGTTTTTCTTCTGGTAACGAGAGTTCTAGTTGGAAGTTTTATTTACCTCGTTGACAAAAGGAAAAACATTTAGCATAGCAACGATGCAACGGCCAAATCGACTAGTTGGCTGGCTCGATGAAGAGAGAAGTTCAAAGCGATTGTGTCCTAGTGCTTTGGTTTCTGTAGGAAACCCGGAAATCGGAATTCGTAACGTAACCGGCAAAGATAAAAAACATTGGTGTTTTTTATGTTTACCGAAAGGTCACGAGTCGTCAATCGACCCATCGAACCCGAGCAAGACTAAGGTCGGGTACTGTATAAAACCTAATCAAAACTCAATTCAAAGGATAAGGTAGAACTGAATAAACCATAGAACCAAACGTAGCTATACCACTACATAAAATCTTAAAAATAAACGTTAACGAGATGGGTTTAATGGTCACCAGGCTAAAATCGACTAGAGCTTGCTAGAACCTTTTCTGAACCGCGGATGCATATGCAGTTCATATTTGCTGCGTTATAGTGAACTTCGAACCGACTCACAATGCGAAGCGCTGCTAAGCGAGGGGAAAATCACATAGCCACGTATCCTGAAAGGGGCATTGCCTTCTCATAGGTACATCCGCGATGATACTACATCTCGGCAGGCTATGCAACTTTCCAAAAATCCTGTTTTATGCACCCCCTCCCCCCGAATTTGCGGCTTTATTAGGGTTGTTGGTCAGCAAAAGGCGAAGGCGCCGAATGAAAACACGATGAAGGATCTCGACTGTTCAGACCGTCCGAGGAGGGATACTCCCAACTCATTAGTGAGCCACGCTTTCACACAAAGGCGACTGCTTTCTTTCAATTTACTCGGCATTCTTCAAGTAACAAAATTGTTCACATGCACTAAGATCCCGAAAACAAAATACTCATTGCCAATAACGGGATTGTTTCTAAATAATTCCGAACATGGGATATCGAGGGCGGAAGTGGTGTAGTGGCAAGTGGCACGCTTACCACGCGAGCGGTCCGGGATCAAATCCTGGGTCGTCGCCGGGCCAACCAAGCCTTCCATCCCTCCGGGGTCGGTTAATTGGTACCAGACTTGTCTGGGAGGATAAAAACACTGACTTGTACATCGGCTGGCCCCCGCAAGTCATTGTATAGGCCACATCGCATTCAAACGCCACTACGAATGTACAATGGAAGTAGAATGCGTGCCGCATCCCAAAAAGGGATTGATCAACGGCAAATGCTTTATCCTTTATCCTTTTATAGGATATCTGCACCACTTCAGTGTTGAAAGAAGATGGTTACTGCTAAACTAACTTCATCTCATTTCAGGGATCCAGAACCAGGGAAGTTTCAAAGCAGAACGAAATGAAACAGCTAGTAGGATATGGAACAGGAACACCCATCAACAAAAAAGCCATTTCAGTTCTCATTCGTCCTTTGAGAAAATCCGACCTTCATATGTGGGACGTCAACGCTCTAATGGTCACTACTTTTTACTCTTTCCCTTTTTCGTATGAGTGAAATCGGAACAGTTTTAAGAATTATTTCTGGAATGTAACAAAAATGTAGAGTGCACATTCTCTAATCACCTAATAACTACTGAAAACACCCGTTTCGACAAATAATCTCACTCGAGTGGAAACAACTACATGTGAAGTAATTTTAATTGCTAGTTCTCCCTTGCGACTGAGGACGCAACAAAACACAAAGGTCGCACTAACGTGCGCTGCCTCATTAGGTTTGTCTCCATCTTAATACGTACGTGGGGAGACATGGACGCTGTGACATAAGAAATCCTCTCGCACAACATCCGCTCTCCGACGAATAAACCCATTTCACTCATACGTTGCACTTTCGCATTACAATTTGACTGCTTCGTTCAACGATATCCAGAAAAACAAATGAAACGATAATGAGGTCGGAAATGTTGCGCCTACCTCTCTACGGACGTTTTGCGTGTGAAGCTGTGCCATTTTCCTCTGTAACTCAACCGTTTCCGAAGAAGGACCTCTTCGACGGAAATAGCCGGCGTACTCAATCGGTGCTGTTTCAACCACACACAACTTGAAGGCCCAATGAGCTGTCTGTCGGATAGCCCGGGTTTCACTAAATTGGTGGATATTTTGAAATCTGAGGTATTGACTGAACACCGCTAACATCACTCAAATATCAGATTTCATCCCAGAAATGCACTGATTGCTCAACATAGAACACTCACTCAAGCACGCTGGCTCCATAAAGCAGCCAATAGATCTCCTCATCGACATCATCCACGGTACGCAGTGCTTTCGCCAAACGATTGAGTTGATGAATAAGTTTGTCGACCAATGAATGAAATGCCTGAATGGATCGCATTTCATCATATCTAAATAAGAGCGTCTGGAAACGATTACGCCGTCAGGGACTGAGCGAACCCTTTAAAGCGCTCTACAAATTCGACCGTGGCATTGAAGTAGAATGAACCACGATTGAGGATTCTTTTACAGGTGATTGCATTTGCCTCAATGGGAAGAGGTCGTTTTTGGTGACATTTGGGCTTACTTTATGACGTTGAGGGTCGCAGGTAAAGCACACTGGGGATAGCGAAGTGTGGTAGCCTAGAAATTGTTGTTTCAGCAAATCCATTTGAATCCCTCTACCTTACCCCTAACACATGATGCAGCTTCTGGTTTTGTGTAGTTGGAAGTGTGTCACGTGGTACCAATTCAAACCATATTTCGCATCACTGGTGGTGAGGGCAGGGATCATAGGCGATAGTAGGGAGACGATGAGTGGGGTCAGAATGGCGTGAGGAGAACGGGCAAGGGCCGTAAAGGCAGAAATGTCTTCGACATGTTGTTAACTCTGGATAGAAGACTAGGAATGACTAGGGATGTTCAAATCAGATTTGACCGCTACAATGAATACAAGGGCAGAAATCTTGGTCTGAATTTTTGTCACCTCTCGCAAGCTTTCTGATAGTCGGCCCTTAATGGGAGCTTTGCCTGTTGGAACTTTTTCCTGAGAGGGTTAGCGGCAGAACCCATGCACACAGCCGCGGCTTGTCACTACCTTCACAACGCAAAACATACAGGGGCGGTCAAAAAAGAGACGCCTAACCCCTAGTTGCAGACAGCATAATCACACTTTTGTAAGCT